AAAATAAAATAAAATAAAATAAAATAAAATAAAATGAAATAAAAAAATAAAATAAAATAAAATAAAATAAAATAAAATAAAATAAAATAAAATGAAATAAAAAAATAAAATAAAATAAAATAAAATAAAATAAAATGAAATAAAATAAAAGAAAACAAAATAAAATCAAATCGAATCAAATCAAATAAAATAAAATCAAACCAAACCAAATGAAATTAAATCAAATCAAATCAAATCAAATCAAATCAATTAAAATAAAATTAAATCAAATTAAGGCAAATGAAATAAAATTAAGTAAAATAATATAAAATAAATAGCTTAAGGTCTCAGCAGCCAAAGCTATCCCCTCTGTTAGTTTTAAGTTTTACAAACTTTCCTAACAGCTATAAATAAATAATATATAAAATAAATTTAAGCAAAATAAAATAAAATCAAACAAAATAGAATAAAGTAACAAAAAATAAATTAAATTAAATTAAATTAAAAAAGTAGCAAAATTAAAAAGTTAAATTTAAATAATGTAGCGTAGTACAAATAATAAGTAAAATTCGAATAAAATGAAATTTTAATTAAATAAAACTATTGCTTGAGCACAAACATACATATATGTATATATGTTAGGTATGTTTTTGCAAAAGAGAAGTGACAAAGAGATAATCTGATGGGAAGGCTTCGGAGTATTTAAAAACAAAAAAAAAGAGTATGTGGAAATCTTACGTGCCTAAGGAATTATTTCGATTATTCCAGTAGAACTTTTTAAAAAAAAAATGTGTATTGCTGAATGTAGGTCTTGCCAAAAAATGTAAAAGCGCGGTTCTACGGTCAGCCGGTCTATGTATGTATGTATGTATGTTTTTATGCCATAAAAATTTTTCTCCTTAAAAGCATCCGCCATTCGGTGGCGCCATACATACATATATGTTCTACATTCATAATTGTTATTTAAGGGCGTTGTTTTACCGCCCGTGCGCGCCCTATTAACAAAATATAAGGCTTCTCAATAAGAAAGTAAATAAATTTTCCGCTGACATATTAATTTAATTAAATATTAATGTACCAGTTAATTATAGAATACAACACTGGTACGAATGAATTTGATTACACCTTTTGTAAAAACATGAAGCTTGTTAAACCGTATTTTGGCTAATAGATTATAGAAACGTAAATACATATTGATGTGTACAATTACAACATTTATTAAACGCCCGCAAACCTTAGTCGAATCAATGAGAAACCCAATAGGAAAGTTAGTTTGAATGTGCACTTGCCCAGCTCTCAAACCAAGGAACAAAGGAACACCGTGTAGCTTCGGGCTCGGGCATTCATCCACAGAAAATATAAATTTATTGATAAATTTTAGGAACATTTTTTTCCTGTGGGGTCAATTTAATTAAAGCAATTGCAAATCAATGTTGGAAATATTTATGAAAGTCCAGGCGTTTTTAATACAAATAATTATGCTGTTATTGAATAGCTGTGTTATTATTGTATTAATATTTGTTTGTATATTACTTGGCGATTGAGTAATACATTAAGAAATTTGATGGGCGTGCTTGACGGGTAGTCGCAGCCAGAATTACATTTTAATAAGTATGTACCCATAATACTCGACTGTTTTTAATTTAAGTGCAACAATGCATGACAATACGCCCTCCATCATCACTTATTGTTGTGATTGATTTGTGGTTATTCAAGGTTAAGTTTGGCTCAAGATAATAACTTGACAAATAAGTAGAGACTGATCTTATTCGTATTTAATAAATATTTTTATGCCCACACTTATTATTTCAAGAATGATGAATGCATACGTGGTTTTGATTAATTTTTCATTCAATTACAAATGTAATTATGTGCAGCTTGAGGTTGATATTCGCTACCCTTATACTAATTTCTAGCCCACGTGGCTTTATGGCCGAATAAATGAGGTTATAAGTAGGTAAATTATGTTGATTTGCGCTTTTTTTCATGTTTTTTAGAAGCTTCCTTAAGCCATATAAATAGTTACCGCCGTGAAGTTATATATTTCCTTTCCATGGCAAAAAAAATAATTTCGGCCATTTGCATTAAATCGAAATCACATTATGTGATTAAATTTTCAATATATCTAAAATTGAAGAGCAGGCTATTAAATATCTTTCCACCTCATCAATTTCATCCATACAAATAAATATTTGCGCCTCGTCCCGTTTAACGATTTACTGAGTGCTCAGAATTTATGAGTCTAAAATGAGTCTCTCTTTCTTTCTAAGGTCAGTCAACGAGACTGACTCATTTCGAACTCTTTTGGTGCAACAAATTCTAAGTTGAGCAAAACCAACAAAGTTCAGGTAGAGGTGCATATACATAAGTTTATTAATAATCAAAATTATAAATAGTATTTTTTATTAAGACTCAGAAAGACGTCATAATGGCGTGCCCTTCCAAAAAGAAAAATATTCTCTTTTCTGACTCTTTTTGGGCTCATAATGAAGATAAAGTTAGGTTAAGTTATGGCGGTTGCCACTCTGCACAATCCGGCAGATAGGCACGCCTAAACCAATTTGTCCCAAATTTGTGAGTGCAATGTCGTCGGCATACGCTACAACGTGGCAGCCGGTATTCTGCAGTATCAGGAGAATTGAGTTTACCTTTCATTGGATGTCTTGCTAAGGACGCGCCCCTTAACTCTGATGAGATAGTTCTCTTCTCAAGAAGAAGTCTTCTAATTTCAACCAGAGGCCGCTCCAGTCCCACCTGAAAGAGTGCCCCACAACGGCATCTGGGAGAATATTGTTAAAGGTGTCCTCTATGTCAAGAAAGATACCTAAGGTAAATTCCATAAAGGTGAGTCCTTTTTTTTAATTTGGGGCACAATTTCGTGTAGGGCAGTGTACACGGATTTTAAAATAAGCACTCCGACACGTCCTCTTATGAAACACGCTGTCGGGTATGTGCGTCGAAAAGTCTTTCTATAGTTTTAAGATGTAAGGACGTGAGGCTTATTGGACTGAACTTATTGGCCTTGGTCCATTCTCTAGGAATGTGACAAAAAGACTAAGGCATGCCTTGAAAATGTTAGCAAGCATTGGGCACAAAAGGTCGACCGCTTGCTATTATGGCATCAGCTCCACCCATTTTAATGGCCAAGAAACGGTTATCTAAAATTTGTTGTGGTCACAGCACCCACAAAAGGTTATATGCGCCCGATTAAGTTGAATGTATCAAAAACAATTTAAAAAATTGCAAATTTCTTGCACCGTCTGATCACATAATAAAGGGCAATTAACCGACAAGTATATTTGTTATTGCACAGAGCCTAATCTATCCGAGGAGCCAGATGGAGGGTTTGGACATTCCAGATGCATATTCGTTGCGTTGTGAGGGTCGTCAACGGCTAGGCGGATTAACTAACCGAGGCTTCGTTGATTTATTCGTTAGTCATTGTTTTTACGTAGCGGGTCCCCAGTCCAGTGCTCAACCCAATGATGGTGCTGTGGGTGGTTTGTCTTCTCACATTTATTCAGTTGCTATCCAGAGAGTAAGCTACAAGTTTTGGACTGCTTCAATCGATTGCGAAATAGTCATGCCTGGCCACTCCCTACTGTATGGCTATCAAAAACGTTCTCACACGCGTGAACTCCAAGTATTTTACAGCTGAACAGGTATAATTCTAGTGTCTAGTTCATTGCTCAATTAAGACGTCGCTAAACTGAAACATAACTCAGAACGGCCTCTGCAAACGAAAATGAAAACCTCGGCAAGTTCATCTACCGATCTCTCGAATAGAGTCGAATTCCGTTTGTGTACTGCTTTAATGTCACAGCCCGGTCTCAGCGTGACATCTTCCGGACTGGTAACTGATGGTCAATGTTGTATTACTTTTAAATTAATTAAATATGTGTTAAATTGTTGTGTGCAGCTAAGAATTGTTTTTTTCTTTTTATATTTATTACTTCCATAATATCGCAACGTGCATTCA